GGGGTTGGAACCAGATGATCTATAAGGTCCCTTCCAACCCAGACCATTCTCTGTGATCGTCAGAGGCACCGTACCTGGGGTTTACTTGCTGTATAGTGGTCTGTTAGCGAGCAGGAATTAGCGCACCGTCTGTGGGTTGTGTGTCGGTGATGTTTCTCTGCGCTGACAGTGCACATTTGCTAAGGGCCTTAATCCCTTTTAACACAAATACAGCCCCGTGATCACTTGAGGCTGACACAGGGTCACCTTACTGCAGATGTTTGTGGTGTAAACTCAGGTGGGCAGGGTATCCAGGTGGAAAACAAACCTAGCGAAAAGCTTTATTTTTTATTAGACTTGGTTGTTCTCTGAAAGTTGTGTGAGCTCAGGGAGGATGGGAGGCTTCAGAGGGCCTTAGAGCAGGACTGGTCAGTGCTGGTTTCGGGTGCCTGTGATGCTATGCTTATGGAGCTCTGGGATCATGACACTGTGCTTCAGAGTGGGAGTTCGCAAAAGAACCTGGTGGTGCAGCCTTTGCTCAGCAGTGTGAAAAACTGACTGTGCTGGACAGGAGGGAGTGTAAAGGTTTGAAAGGTGGCAGATCATAGAGTCTATTAGTGTTACTGAATTTAGGCTTTCATATACACAGGCTTACCAGTGTTTCTTTGAATAGTGCCCTTTATTAGTGACTGAACTTTGACTGTGAAAGATTTGTCATTCTTTTGATGAGAAGCGCAGAGCTGCTTTTGTCGTGTCATGGTAGAAGCTGACCTGTAGGATGCTGGAGGTACACTGGCTGCTTGCTTTTTATTTTTCCCATGGCTGCATAGTATGGGAAGTGCTTTTTTCCTTTCCAGTAGGTAGGGAAGTTCAATAGCAGTACACAACACTTCCTTACTTTGGAAAGAAGTTTGGTTTGTTAAACAGTACGAGATGCATCCCTTCTAGGTTATTGCCTGGGGTTTCCATGTGCCTTTAAGTTGGAGCAAGTCTTTTTAGCTGGTAATATTATTTTTGCTGGAGAACAGAACATGTATGACAATAAAGATTTTGTTTGTTTGTTTTGTTTTGTTGGTGGTGTTTTTCTTTTTTTTTTTTTCCTTTTTTTTTCTGTTCTGATCTCTGTTGAGCCACTAGTGTGACCATCATGGAGGGGAGGCAAATGTGATCCTCTGTACCAGAGCGAGATGAAATCTTTTGTACAGTTCTAGTCACCCGTGTTTGACAGATAAGTTCAAGCTGGAACGTGGGTTGGACATAGAGGCAATGGAGCTGAAGGAAGGGAAGAAAACTAGAGAGGTTAAATGATGACATAACAACTACACATGAACTGGGCTTGACAGGACTAGAAAGTTCCTGCAGTTGGGTGCTGAAGACTTTTTTAGTGGAGGTAAAAATAGGTGGAACTTGTTAAGCTGTTGAAGATTCTGTAACATGGCAGCTGTTGTAAGGCTCTGGACAAGGCAGGTCACGCCGTTTCCTTGAGCTGTATGCAGCGCTGTTGCTTACAATGTTCATTTTAGTAGTGAGACTTACAGACACCATCAGTGTGGTTATGCTGTTTGTGTTTTACAGGTGGAGTATAGAGAGATGGATGAGAGCCTTGCAAACCTGTCAGAAGATGAGTATTACTCTGAAGAAGAGAGAAATGCTAAAGCAGAGAAAGAGAAAAAACTCCCACCACCACCTCCACCGGCTCCTGCAGAAGAAGAGAACGAAAGCGAGCCGGAGGAGCCGTCTGGTGAGTAAAGAGAGACCTTCTCCTCGGACGCTCTTTACCTTTTTTATTGGCAGAAGTTAAGCGGAGTCAGGTGCAGCATCATGAATCCTGTGTCCCGTTTTGATCTGGTTTTGAATGATTGTTCTACAGTGTTTGCTTTGCTGGCCCTGGATGTGGACGGAGGGGAAAAACACAGAAGAGCAGCCTGATAAAGATGGGAATATGCATGATCTAATTCCAAACTAAGCCAAACCTCTCATACTAGATTCTCATGATCCTTGTTGACTTGTCTTTGGAAGCTTTAGTGATCAGAACAGCCACTTTGGCACTTCGTTGCCATACCTGCTTGTGTACCAACATTCATTTACTTCTCCGAGGGAAAAGAGGTTAGATTTCCTGGATTGGGAGCAGGGGGTTGCTGTGCGGAAGGACAGATTTAATCTGCAGTGATTCCTGTGGCTTTAAACTGTGACTCTAATCTTAAGTTCTGGTTGGAATTTCAATGCTTTCCTTATTACCTTTGACAGAGTTGTAAAGCTAAACTTTACATTGGAAAGTTTTTTGTTCAGGAAGCAGCTTTTGAAATTTATGGTGTTAACAGTACCCTATCTGTTGTTTACTTATATTGTGTTTGCAGCTGCCACCATTAGTTAGGTCTGGTGTTGGCGTATCACTCTGCTATCTAAAAAATCATGCTTTTGCAAAGTTTAACCGTCGGGGAGGTTTCGTAAGATTCTGTGTGTGCCAGCTGGTTTTAGACAATAGTTGAAATCTAGTAGTTGAGCTTTTGCTGGTTCATCACAGATGTGAATAACAGTTAGTCTTCAGCTCTGCTGCTCTTAATTGGCTTCTTTTTGGCTGGCAGGTTTGAGAACGTAGACAATAGGACTGCTGTCAGCTTGGAGATGCTTACCTTCCAGTTCAGAAAATAGATTAAAAGCCACAGCTGTGTTTTATCTCTTAGTATTTGCCCCTGTAATCTCTCCTCAGTTGCAGCTGTTGGCTGCTGGCTTGGTACAGGAATACTGTAGCTCATACGCTTGACTGAAAGATTGGCAAGGATAAAAATCCTCCTCGCCCCTAGTTGTAGCTGATCTATCAAAAATGGAATTTTAGTAGGTGTAGTTAAGCAAGTATATTAAGTTTACTGTTTAACTCAGCTTAGATTTTGGGTTTAATCCTTGAGACCTAATATTAATACACTTTTGATATTTCTCAGATGCCATTTTGTGCCTCTAAGAATGATTACTGAAATCAGTTTGAGGCATAATCAGTGAAGTACAGTGTTGTATCCCATGAAGGAAGAAACATGGAAGATTGGGCAGCGATAGACTAATGCTATTCTGTACACACAACAGTCTGTTACGTGGTTATTCTGCAAGCGCTATAATTAGTCGTCTGAATACAACCAATTTTACAGCAGGCTGTATCTGGCTGCCTAGAAAGAAGTAGATTTCGGATCATCATGTCCTTTCTCTGTTCCTAGAAATCCTGCGATATGCGTGAAACAGTGATATAGGAAGATGACAAATTTTCAGTTGTCATTCCATGGCCAGTCTTGCTGTATTTTTATAGGCTTCTGGAACTGTATATGTTGGTGGATCTCTGTCTTTACTAATGCAAGCATCAAGAGCATCAGGCCATCTTATTCTGTCTGTTGAAGTGCATTGAAACTTCTGGTTCAAACAACTGTTAGCAGGAAGAGGCATGGAGTCTGCTGTGCATAGAAGCAACGTTTATAACTGAGGTTTTATCTCTGTCACTTCTTTGAAGCAAAAAATAGAAGTGTTCAATAAGAAATATTAAATAGGACAGTAATACTAGAGCAAGTCTGCATATTGAAAATTTAGCAGAACACAAAATGTTAGCTTGTGTATGACTGTTAATTTACTCTCATTGCAGACCTTAATAATTTCCTTTGTATGTTTAAAGCCTGCAAAAACATAGGTAATGCAGTAGAGGTGTAAAGCTGTCGTGTTATAGGTTATGACCTTTTGTTTGAGTAGCTTAATTGTGCAAATGTAAAATGTAATAATGACGGTGTCTGGTGTTTCATTAGTCTGTGCTCACACAGTTCACAGTAGAAAGTATCACACTTTCGATGACAGTGAAATGCTGGTTGTATTTGAGGTGGTTTCCGTTAACACATTCAGCTGTGGCGAATTCCAGATGGTTTGGCTATGCGGATTGTTATAGTCTGGGTGTGCAAGATTCACTGCCTGTTACTGCAGAGCAGCTTTAAAAGGCCTAACAGTATTCTGTGACTAAGATAATTTCCTTAAAGTATCTCTCCTCTTTTTTACCTGAGAATTATTGTCTGATAGCAAAAAGCTTCCAAACTCACTTTCAGTGCTGAATGACATTGGTGTTCTTGATAGCCAATATCCCTTTTCAAATTAAGGAGCTAGCCTCTGTTGTTTTTCTCCTCTAAGGCTTTGTTTACCCTCACCAAGTTGGATTTTCGTTTTTATAGCTTCCTGAAGATTTTCTTTACCAGCTCCTGTATTTTCAGTTTTGTCAGTATTCTTACTTTGTGGTGATCTTGTGTTTCTAGCTGCTGTTTTCCAAGGAAACGTGACACTGAGCACGATCCAGATTAACGTCAAGTGACAGTCAAACTTAGTGGTGTTCTGTCTCTGTTTTTCATCTGACTTGTCTATTTTCCTAATTAAATTCAGTACTTGGTGCCAGTCGTGTGCCACTATTCTTTCTTTTAAGACAGTGGATGATTGTATGAAGTGGACTCCTTTGTAGACCTGCTTCCGATTGCTGTTCAGCGCATGGTCCGTTATTCTGTTGCCTTGAGACTTTCAGCAGATTCTGCTCCTGCCCATGTTCCCGTTCAGCTGCAATAACTCGATGTTGACGTGGATCGGCAGTTTGCTTGCTGCTCGGTTCCTTTGCGGCTGGCACATGACTTTCTTACAGGGAAGGAGAGGCAGTCTGCACTAGCAGGGCTACTTTCCACACTTCTGTACTCAGACTGGCTGTTGTTTAGAATTGTGTCTGAGCAAGCAGTCAGAGTGGTGCGCTTTTTTGACCTAAAATTGAAAATAGTTTAATTGTTATTAATAGAAGATTATGAGACTGGTTTCTTTTTGTAAGTAAACCGAGAGCAGTTTTGTCCCCTCTACTCATTGTCAGTGCTAATTCAGGGATAATGAATGCCACAGGCTCATGTCAGCATCTTTTTGATTTCTTAACTTAAGGAAAGCACAAGTGTAACTTTTTCTGCAAATTAATGGCCTATGCTGGAGCATAAATATTAGTGTTTGAGTTGTGTTAGTGTCTCCCAGCATGGAAGCAGGTCTTGTCATGTTTCCAGCAAAATAAAGTACTTGCAGTGTAGGGGAAGTGAGGAATTTTCTCTAGCTATTGCAGATACATTAGTTCATGGAATCCTGACTTTGGGACTTCGGAGGCCTGTCAAAATACAGTTGTTTGTCACAGTCTCTCTTGTGAGTTTCTGAACTTCCCTGCTGGTAGACTGATTATATAAAAGTAGTATTGCTCCTCTACTGTAGCTGAGTGAAAATGTCTGTCTTGTTCCAGTTCCTATTTTATTTTAACTGTAGCTGTGTGATGTTGCAGCATTCCAGATGTTAATCCAGGTTATCAAAGTATGAAAACATTTGGTTCACTTTTTGTGTCTTGCTTTAGGGGTTACATTTGTAGTTCGGATGAAATTCTTCTAAGCTAGAGTATCCCCTAAAAGCCTCAGATTACTTTCTGGCAAAATTGTCCACCCAGTCCCAAACTCTAAAGAGTAATCTTAACAGTTGTGTGGTCAGCCTCAGGTTAGACCTCACTCTTACCTGTCTGGAGACAATGCCCGGAGCAGTTCTGCTCTAGGAAGTGACTGTCTCATTTGCTACCTTTGACCCCAGCAGTTTGTTTCACTGGGGGTTTGTTTGGACTATAGAAAACACCCTGTTTACTGACTGTGGAAGCACTTGCTTTAAGGAGCCCTGGTACAGGAGCAGGCAGCCAAAGAGCGCTCAGCCATCTCTGTAGTGTTTCGCGGCTTCCTGCTCTCCGGAGGTGACCAGGCTTTGGGCAAAGATCTGTGGAGGAATGTCACTTACAAGCTAAGCTTGGTGCTAGCGTCTCCCGTGAAGGTTAGCAGCGTGTGAGGTGACCTGTGTTAGCTGTGTTCCTACAGACATTGCAGCTGTGCTCAGCTCTGTTCTTGAAATGCTCTCTTCCTGGTTGTGTTGTAGTCCTGTCAAGGCTGCTGTTTAGGTCTCATGTGCAGGCTAAGGTGATTTTGAGACTTCTTCAGATCTTTCGGGTGAATGCTTTGCCTCATTTTTCCAACCCTGAATACGTTGAAAGACCAATGTCTTTCAGTGCTGTGTATTGATCACATTACTGATCGATGGTATTGACATGTACTTGGCTTCCAAGGTGGTCTTAGTGTGTTAGAATGTTGTTGGTGTATCAGGGACGCTGAAGCCAAAATAAGTGGTCTGAGCCTTTCAAAAAAAGTTCTGTCATCAAGCTTCAAGGAAGAGTTTGTGGCCAGAAAAAGAACAGGCTCTTTTGAAAGTAAGAGGCTTCTGAGAATGATTCAAACTATTCCCTTGGCTATGGGGAGACTCGGGAGTACCAAGGGCAAGATTATCAAATTCTTATGACTTGAGACCCGTAGAATCTGATGGTATCCATCCACCAGATCGTGGCAGTAAGAAATGTAATCTTATTGTTCAAGTCTGAGCCATTGGTTAAGTTGATCGGAAATATTTAGCCACCAGGAATGCTACATATTGTACAATTCTTTATTTCCCACAAAGTCTGATGTAAAGCGTTCCAGTAACACGGATAACACTTTAGAAGACCACAGAGTTCGGTGCCCTGAACCTAGGTTCCAGAAGATGGGATTCTCATAAATGGGTTTAGTTAGTTGGTGAAATTTAATACCTAAAACGCCAACTGCCGGGCCTTTTTTGTCCAGTATGGTTTAACTTATGGAGTAAGGTCCCTGAGTTCTCCTCTTTCCTTCCACAGGGCAAGCAGGAGGACTTCAAGACGACAGTTCTGGAGGGTATGGAGACGGCCAAGCATCAGGTGAGGGTGGCGTTTGATGCTTGCCACTGAGTAGCAAGAGCCGCCAGGTTAGGGATTGATGCTTGCAAGTGCGCATGGGTGTGGTTGTCCAGAACTTAGCCAGACACAGGAGTTGGTTACTCACCTGTTAAAAAAGCAAGGGGTGTTTTCAAAGTTCACTTGACATTTGTACCACCTGTGGAAAAGGACACTGACCTATGTTGAAATGCCTCAGGCCGATCTCTCATCCCTCCACTCCTCTCCATGTTCAGAGGAGTCCAAAGGTGCAAAAAGATATTTCTCACCTAGCTGGTTTCTGCCACCCAGAATGGCACAGAAAGCCCTGGCCTGCAGCACAGTAGGCCTTTGTTCTAATTTGCTGAAGCAGCATAGCGTGGAGTACCTTTTTGCTCCTTTGTGTTTTCTTTTGAAAGGGTTTGTGTTTGAGCTGTGTGCCAGTGGTTAGCCCAGGAGGTTTATCTGGTGGGGAGATGCGTAGTCCGCTTCTCAGTGGACTGGACTCTGAATTGCATTTGCCATTTTGCCTGAGTACTGATAGCAGCATGCACTTCCTGCTTAATTTACAGAATTGGTGTCTTTAGTCCAAAGTACTTAGAGTGCTACTGAAAATCTTCCTCCAGCTCTGCCACTTTCGCTCTTACTTGAGGATTGAGGGTTAGGGTTTTAAGCAAAGGAGTCGAAGGCTCCAGAAACTATTCTCTACCTCCAAGTTGCTCTTTTTGAAGCAAATACAACTTCAAGATATTCACTGAGAGTGCATCCCTTGCTGTTCTAAGTAAAGGAGCCTAGTTGTGCTTTGGATCTTACCACTTGCACAGAATTTCTGTCTATTGTAGATTGTGGGCTGAAGGATGAATTGCCTATTTCATTTTTAGGCAGGCATTGGCTGTTTGGAAATTCTACACATTTTGTATTTTTATATATATGCTGAGAGTACGCTTTAGCAATTGTCCGATTCAGCAGCCAATAACTTTCCTTCCATCTGCAGGTGTTTCAGTAAGTCTTTAGATGATCGTCATCCCTCAAAAGTTCTTCTGTGGGGAAGAAGATAATAAAAACTTTAGCACATTAGTTGCTGATGCTAAAAGTCAGGAAGTGGCAAGTGTGTGCGCGAATGTGTGTGCAGGGGAGGTGAGAATCCAGTCTAGGCAGAGCTGTGCCTGCAGTCATGGAAGGGTTGCATACCCCAAGGCAAGCGTGTGTTGTTCTGAACTGGTCCTCCCTTTGATGAGTTGCTTTCATGAAACACAAGCAGTAAGGGTGTCGGATGGGGGGCATTTAATCAGCCTGAAATCGATTTAATTTTGAGCTGTATCGTTGCAGAAATAAATTCAAGGACATGCAGTTCTTACAAGAACTTCTGGTGGTTGGGCCAAATCAAATGAGATCTTCACAAATAATAGCTAGGCTTCTTCTAAGTTACTTTTGTCAAACCCTATTGTGATTTTCATTTTTTTCTAAATACCAGTGCTCATCCAGAACTGTTCTGACAGTTTTAAAGTTCGGGTATTGCCATAAAAGTCATGTGGCCTTAAAAATCCCCAAAACAAAAAAAACCCTGCCTTGGAGTTCTTTCCAAGGCTGTTAGGAGTGCCAGCCTCTCTGGCTTCTCAGTTTGAAGAAACCAGTCACAAAGCTTTTCGAGAAGCGGGCAAGTTGCCTTCAATGCACGTCTGAGAGTTTCCTGGTGGTTGATCCCTGCGCGACACTCAGCGCTGTTTAGCAAACACCTGGAGAAGGCAGGCTCGTTTCAGTGTAAGCCTGTGAGAGGGAGTCGGGTTCAGCATTTCAAATCTTTGTTTAATCGGCCACTCTCTGAAAATTGTGCTGCTGAGCTTTTTGTGAACACTTGATAACCTAGAACCTCAATGAAGATTTGTTAACATTAACAAAGTATCAGAGAATTGGTAATTTTGCTTGACGTGCACGGTTGTACGGAGTTTGTAGCCAGCGGGTGCATTGACATGTGGAGGTCTGCGCAGTTGGTCCAGTATTAGCGTGAAGGACAGCGGAAGGGCTGGGGCCAGTTGTTGCTGGAGAAGCTGAAGTTCCAGCAGAGCTGTGGGTTGCTATTCCATAGCTGTCAGTGTCAGGAAGTGCTGTGGATGTGTCCACTTTGCCTAATGTTAATGCCATTTCACTTTCTTGCAGGGCTCTGTAGCTTCTGTTACTAATTTCCTCGTGTTGTAAAATTCCTGTAAATGATTATCCACAGTTTTCTTTACCTTGAGTCATCACGCAATCGGATCTTCCATTCTTTGCTTGTGAATGAATTTTGTTAGCTTCGCAACCATTTCCTTGCTTAAATTTTTTTCTTCACCTTTGGGATGTGAAAATGCGTGAAAGTTAAAGGGGGGTGTGTGTGGTTATACCAGAACTGAAAGAAGAGGATTCCTCTCCCCGGTACAGGGACATGTGTGCCTCTGCACATGAACTTCAAACTGTCAAACAGTTGTCTTGGTTAGTGTAACACACACAAATGATCTTCATCTTACTGCATTACTCGTGAGGTTTTTCCCCTTGGGATGTATTGGCTTATATCTTTCCGGAATGAATGTCCTCCCCTCTGTCCTGATCTGAAGTCACTTCTGGGACACAGGAGATTTATGTTGTTCTTGCTGTGTGTCACATCTCAGTATTGCGTTGTGCTCGCTGTGCCTGCAGGATTCGCTTTCTGCCCTCTCCTTGTGCTGTACCGCTCTGTGCAGCTGTCTTGGTTTGTTACTTTCTGTACAGTGTGACACCCAGATGAGAGTGGGGCAGGGAGGGTACAGAACTGTGTTATTACTTCATTGCCAGTGTTTGAACTGGGAGAAGTACGGCTACCTTTATGAATGAAGTCTTTCCATGGAGAAGATGTCTCCGGTACGTGTTCAACATCAGCCTTTTACATGTGGAGCATTTAAAAAGGAGAAGTCAGAAATCTGTAGTTGTTGACAGTAGGCAGCACTTGGGGAAGGGACCCAGGAAAAGCATGAGTAGGGTTGTATCTCATTGTAGTGCCTGTTGTGAATATATAAAATATGCAAAAGGAGAGGTGAAGATGGATTCCTCTAGCTTGAAGAGTTCAGTGCAAATGAAACCTTGAAAAGCAGGTGAGAGGGGACTGTAGGCATTACTCTTGTATCTTACAGATCTTTCGGCTTTGAACGGGTTCTGAAATGTTTTTTGTATTCTGGTAGAGACTGGAAACCACACAAATGAAGGACAGCATCTAAAGTGGTTATGTTTTATTTATATTATATATATGCTATATATAATATTGATATATATATTATATCATTATAATATATATCAATGTATATATAATATTATATTGATATGTGCCCCTACCCCCATATTTTTCAATTTTTCCTTTTTTGTGGTGTTTTTTTTTTCCCTGTAGTATAGCTTTTTGTTAACCCTAGATGATATCTGTGATTCAAAGAACTGTTGACTTGGGAACCTGCATGTCTGGCAGAAGTAAATAAAAGGACTAAATGAAAGCATGACATGAAATTGGCCACCGTATCACCTCGTGGTGAGATGCACTGGCTAGGAAGGGTCATGTAAAAATACTTACTTAGCAGTTCCTTTTGCAGTGCCTGTAGACATCTTGTCTTTTTATTGTAGGTGTGGAGGGTGCAGCTTTCCAGAGTAGACTTCCACATGACCGTATGACATCTCAAGAAGCTGCCTGCTTCCCTGATATAATCAGTGGGCCACAGCAGACTCAGAAGGTGTTTCTGTACATCAGGAACCGCACCGTAAGTTTATTGTAAAAATATTGATGAAAAAAGTGTAGGACATTCGTGTACCTTGCAAGGACTTTTTGGTAGTTACCATGTCTAACAGTGGGTAGATTTTGGGTTTTGAGATGGTGGGGTTTCATTTGTGACATCTTAGCATGCTCAGACTTGCTAAGAAAGGTGTTATCCAGTTCTTGATAAGAGACAATGCTGCGAGGCAGCTTAAAGAATCTGTAGTATATTTACAATATGCAAAACAGAGTCATAACAACCATCAAAACTGCGTGATTCAGCTAATACAGCTTTTAAAAACTAAACAAGCAGCAAGCTGGTACACATGTTCTATTACTTGATCTCAGCTTAAAGAAGTCGCTGTAGAATACTTAAATACTCTTCAAGCAAATAGATGCTTAAGGCAAACCTCTTAGTTTTGTTTTTTTTTTACTTTGCCTAGCGTTCAGTTGCTGTAATGCTGAGACATCAAGCCAGTTGTGTGGCTTATGCTTAGAACAGAACAGTTACTTTGCCAGCTTGGAGTTCATAAAAGAAATTACATTGTTGAAGAAATGAAACTCTGTTTCTGAATGTTTGTAGCATTTCTGCCCCTTTCAAAATTTCGATGCAACTGAAAATACAGAAAGGAGGGGCAATATTCAAATAATTCATTGGGGAGTTCATTCACTTGAGTTCGGGCAAGCATGCTTGAAGTTTAAACCTGCGTAAAACTTAACCAGTAGTATTGTGTGTTGCAGGTGATAGTTTTAAATTGTGACAATGCGTTTAGGTTTCTCAGCACACAAACAGAGTTCAGGGCTTTCTCCTGTACTTAGAAAATTTAACTGATGTTAGAAAAATTAACAGTAGGAAAGCAAGAAATATTTCGAAAATTACCATAGTTGAGAGAGAAAACACCTTATGCATCATTCAGTTTTTTTCCACAGACTTAAGATGATCCAGGAGCAGCATCGTGTATTACACATGGGAGCACCCGATGCTTAATAACTTAGGCATGATGGACATCTTCATGCTAAGGGTGTGACTTCTGCTATTTCTGTGAAATCTCCATCTAATTAACCTAAGTTGTAACTTTTGGGAAGTCATGAGATGCATAAAACCAGGCCCAGGCAAGCCAAAAACTTTGAGTTTGCTCAGAATGTGTAGCGAGTAATCCTTTTACAAATGCATTGGACACAGAAAAGCATTCTGCTGAAACTAATAAATGACCGGACGCAAAGGAGTGCTCGGAAGGGGTATTTGCAGGGCTACGCCAGAAGAGCTGCGCTGCTGGTCTTTGGTCCTTATTGACTATGGAGGAACTTAGAGAAGTTTCTAAGCAGGAATCCCTTTCTGAGGAAGAGTTGTGAGAGGATCTCCGCTGGTCAGGATGGCAGAGGTTATAGAACAGCAGGTGAAGCAAATGGTACCATAAACCCAGTTCTCAGCAGAGCTCTGGAAGAGCTGTGAGGTGCAGTGTGCATCCTCTTCTTTAAAGCTAGCACGGTACCAAGAGGTTTGAAAATTCTGAAGGCAGCATGAACACCCAGAGTTCCTGGAGGTTAGAGGGGTTAGACTGGTAAATCTGATAGAATCACAGAATCATTAAGGTTGGAAAAGACCTCTAAGATCAAGTGCAACTGTCCACCCATCACCACCGTGCCTGCTAAACCATGTCCTGAAGTGCCACGTCTACACATTTTTTGAACCCCTCTAGGGATGGTGACTCGCCCACTGCCCTGGGCAGCCTGGTCCAATGCCTGACTACTCTTTCAGTAAAGAAATTTTTCCTAATGTCCAGTCTAAACCTCCCCTGATGCAACTTGAGGCTGTTGCCACTCGTCCTGTCGCTGGTTACCTGGGAGAAGAGACCAACACACGCCTCACTACACCCTTCTGTCAGGTAGTTGTAGAGAGCAATAAGGGCCCCCCTCAGCCTCCTCTTCTCCAGACTGAACAGCCCCAGCTCCCTCAGCTGCTCCTCATCAGACTTGTTGTCCAGACCCCTCACCAGCCTCGTTGCCCTTCCCTGGACACACTCCAGCCCCTCAATGTCCTTCCTGTAGTGAGGGGCCCAGAACTGAACACAGTGCTCCAGGTGCGGCCTCACCAGTGCTGAGTACAGGGGCACGATCACTTCCCTGCTCCTGCTGGCCACACTATTGCTGATCCAAGCCAGGATGTCATTGGCCTGCTTGACCACCTGGGCACACTGCTGGCTCATATTCAGCCAGCTGTCGACCAACACTCCCAGGTCCTTTTCCACTGGACAGCTCTCCAGCCACTCCTCCCCAAGCCTGTAGCACTGCATGGGGTTGTTGTGACCGAAGTGCAGGACCCGGCATTTGGCTTTGTTGAAACTCATGCCATTGGCCTCGGCCCATCGATCCAGGCTGTCCAGATCACTCTGCAGAGCCTTCCTACCCTCAAGCAGATCGACACTCCCGCTCAACTTGGTGTTATCTGCAAACTTACTGAGGGAGCACTCAATCCCCTCAACGAGATCATTGATAAAGATGTTAAACAAGACTGGCCCCAGTACTGAACCCTGGGGACACCACTTGTGACTGGCCGCCAGCTAGATTTAACTCCTTTCACCACCACTCTCTGGGCTCGGCCATTCAGCCAGTTCTTTATCCAGCGAAGGGTACACCCATCCACACCATGGGCAGCTAGTTTCTTCAGGAGGATGCTGTGGGGAACAGTGTCAAAGGCGTTACTGAAGTCCAGGTAGATAGCATCCACAGCCTTTCCCTCATCCATTAGGCAGGTCACCTGGTCATAGAAGGAGATCAGGTTGGTCAAGCAGGACCTGCCTTTCATGAACCCATGCTGACTGGGCCTGATCCCCTGGTTGTCCTTCACATGCCCGGTGAGCACACTCAGGATGAATCGTTCCATAATCTTGCCTGGCACTGAGGTCAGGCTGACAGGCCTGTGGTTCCCGGGATCCTCCTTCCAGTGCTTCTTGTAGATGGGTGTTACACTGGTGATCCTCCAGTCATCTGGGACCTCCCCTGTTAGCCAGGAATGCTGATAGATGATGGAGAGTGGCTTGGCCAGCTCCTCCACCAGCTCCCTGAGTACTCTGATATTTCCCATTTGCCTGATAACAAATGGAATCGGGAATTGACTGAATGACCTGGTAACTAAAAACCTGTTTTGGAAGGCTCACAGTGGCTTTTATAAAGGGAAGTCACCCTTTGCAGTCCATCTGAGTTCTTCAAAGGACTCATGAGAAAGTGAACGAAGGAGATCCACTTCATGGGATCTGCTGCATGAATCCCCACGCCCACCCCAAAACAAAAAACCCCACCTCAACCAACCAATTAAAAAAACCCCAAAACAGTAAAAGCTCTTGGTAAATTACTGTTGATTAAAGAAGATCATGAAGTTTACAAAGCAGAACGTAGGATAAATGATCTGTTGTGGCCATGTGGGGCAGTTACAATTTGAAGCCTTTAAAATCTTCGAAGGCCTGCACTGTTCTGTGTATTCATAGAGGGTCTGAAAATCAGTATTTGTAAAGAAATGGTCATTTGCTGCCCATACTAAGTTATTTTAGGTAGTTAAATGAGGACTACGGAAGACAAAAACTCTTATGAGTAACTGAGTGATAACATAGCAGCTGAAATTAAAATTAAATACAGTAAACTAATGTGAATAATGGAAATAATTGTATATATAATAAATAACATATATAATATATAAAAATGTAAATGTAGAGAAGTATATATAAAAATACAGATTGTGGGCTTTGCACTCGTCAAGCTGAGAGTGGAATCTTAGCATTATGGTACGTAGTACTATGAAATGGTTAGTTCCACACTCAGAAATGATCAGAAAGAACATTGTTAAAAATTGCTTGGAAAGCAAGTAGAAGAAAGTCCTGTGCTAAACGTGAAATTTGCCTCAAATGGCCTCCCAAATTATATGGAAATTCTTTCTTGATCTTTCCTATTCATTATGCTTTGATGATTTTCACTTGAATTTGGTATCTGTGAGGAGCTGTGAAGTTCAGTAGTGCAATTATAGAGAAATATCCAAACAAGTGACTAGTTCTGGAATGTGAAATGATGCGGAGATGGTACGTATGACCTAGATCTAGGCATTGAACAGTAACGTGTTATTTATTAGCTGTTGCCATCCATGCCATGAGGTAGGAGTTCTGTTGGGAAAACAGCTGTCGTATTATTCTGTGCTTTTTTTCTAGCATGAAATGACATGATTAATATTTCACAGGCAGCTCTTCCTGCTTGGTTTTTGAACTGTAACTGTCCTCTAAATGTTCTTTCTTGTGTATACCTGGCCAGCATAGTCCATTGTGTAGCTTTTGTTTTGTCTGTATTTTTTCTTGTACGTGTGATCAGGAGATTGCTAACTTCCTGCATTTGCACTTACCTGACCTGGTGTAGGAAGTGAAAATGGACTGTACTTCACCTTAAAGAGCACTGGAAGGCCAAGTTCAGTGGGGCTTGGATAGCACTGCTGAAGCTTAACTCGTCAGAGGTTTCATCTCCTGACAGTACTTGGTAACACGCACATGGCAAACACCTCCCTTGTACTGCGTAATGTAATGTGTCTTGTTTGTTTAAATACAGCTGCAGCTCTGGCTGGATAACCCAAAGGTTCAGTTGACGTTCGAGGCAACTATCCAACAATTAGAAGCACCTTATAATAGTAAGTCAAGCCTTTTATTGCCAAAACTGTTCTGTACGTATCATTGCTATGCTTTTTCAGTTTTGGGTGGGGAAAAGCTGCCTAGAACTGAGAGGGCTTCAGGTGGGTCCTTCTGTTAGTGAAACTCCAGGAGCGTTCGTGTGCAGAATGGGATATTGCAGCATGCTTGTGTTTCAGGTTTGTTAGAGGTCATTTGTCTGGTAAATTTAGCAGAATTCAAAAAAAGCTGGTAAAAAGATGGGTTGTTAACAGAAGTTTCCTGCAAAGAATTCACTTGTGGCTTTTTAGGTTTGCTACAACTTCATCATGGTTTGCAGCTGTGAGACTTTCTAAATCTGAAGGTTTCTGTGAGGCATGAAAAAGTTGCATAAGGCTTGAATAGTCTGGCCATGATGAAAGAAGGCAGTGAAAGAGTGAGGAGTTACTGCTTGCAAATTTAGGCCATGTAGGCCATCAAAAAAGATCCCAATGAACTGGAAAAGGGGTAGAGGGGAGCCATAAAGAAAAAGTAAATAAAGAGGGAGATAATGCTGAAATGAATGCAGATACACTGTCAGGTATTGCAAAACAGTGAATTCTTCTGTTTGTAAAAAACGAAAATGAGAATTCAGTGCTCCAGTAACAGATTGGCTTAATACCAGCAAATCACATTTCAGTTCTGCATAAAGATCACCGGATTTCTGCAGTCGGTTTCAGAAACGGTGTTCTTCCACACTAGATAAATAGAAGCATTTAATGTCCTGTACAGCTGTTCAGGCAGTGTTTGAAACTGCGGTATAGCCTGGAAAAGAGCTTGTCATTTCCGGACAACTTTATCCTCAGCTTTCTGCAGGAAGGTGGATTCATCAGTAATGGCAGCTGGGGTGCAGAAAGAGAAGTGTTCAGTGTGACTTTGCTGGGTTGCTGCTGCTGCTACCTTTGCTTGTGCATATGTTTTCAGTACATACGTGCTCCTGAATATACAGAATAATTTTAAACATTACAATTTTTTAAGGTGATACGGTGCTCGTTCACAGAGTACACAGCTATCTGGAGCGGCATGGTCTAATCAACTTTGGTATCTACAAGAGGGTGAAGCCCCTTCCAAGTAAGTAACTTGAAAATTGTTTCTAGTTGGAGTTTTGTTTTATTGTTCTGTGATTTCTTAGGACAAAGGAGTGCTTTTTTTAGGATTGTGGAGCTGAGAAAATGAAAAAAGGCTGGAAAGCTATCTGGCTGTAGATGCTCATGGTTTTTATTTTGGTGTGGAGAAGTCATGTATTTAATTAAATCACTTTGAGCTGGAAAACGTTGGCAAATCTGTGGATAATTTGGTGGCTATCACTGTTTAATGAGTTATCTTTTGTTGTTTGTTTGAATAAAAAAAGGCAGAAACACAATACTGTACTTACATCTATTATAGGCTTATATGATGCTTGAATTTTACAAGGGCTAAACTTGTCGTCCTTTCTAGGTTTTATTCTTCTGGGGCAGAAAGAAATAAAACTATGCTATATGATACTTTGTCCCGCAGTAAGAAGAATTGGTTTCTTCTTCAAACAATTGTCCTTCAGAAGTATTTTTCTTCCCCTTTTCTTCCTTGTCACAGGTGCACTACTGGTGTGTTTTTCTTGTACCTGTCTCATTAAGAAAAACTGCGAAGTGTTTTACTGTATTATGTACATAATTCCTTCCATTTTCTTTTTGTGACCATTAGTTTTTTTAAAGAGTTTGTTCTGTCAGAACTGTGGATTAGAAGGAAGCTGCTTTTTGTTCTTAGTGTCTCTTACATGCAACCTTAGCACGACCCCGTACAACGTGGCAATGCGCGTACAGAGCCTGTAGCTTATTTTTCCCTTCCTTCAGCCAAGAAGACGGGAAAGGTGATCATCATCGGTTCTGGAGTCTCTGGGTTGGCAGCAGCTCGCCAGTTGCAGAGTTTTGGAATGGATGTCACAGTTCTGGAAGCCAGGGTATGAATTTGGGTGCTGTTTTACCTCCATATGGAAACTTGCCCAGCAACCCCATTCGGTGCTGGGCTACGGCTGAGTATCCAGCAGCGCGCCGGGGACGGGTGAGCCTGTGCGTGCTTGCAGGCAGCCGGGAGGTGTTGCTGAGCACTGAGCTGTCTGCCCAGAAGACGAGTGGGTCTGTTCCCACCGGGACTTGGTTGGGGCCAGGGCTGGGCTGTATGGTCAGGTGCTAGTGTCACCAGGATGCTGACAGGCTGGAATCTTCTTCCTTTCGTGATTAGGAATTGATTTTTCACTGGAAAGCAGGATGCAAGTCTGTATTTTGAGAACTTGCTCCTTAATTAGGATCACTGTTTGGAATTGCAGTACACCTTCAGGCAGGGTATTTTTCTTGCACCTTTTAAGTCTGTGTTAAAGGGTCTGTTAAGCACACGGTAGTAAACAAGGAAAGAATGGAAGTTTTGTAGAGCTACATTTTGTGGTGCGTGCACTAGCTGATTGTTCTTCCAGTAATAAGGTATTCTTTTATATCCAGCCTGAAGCGAAATCTCCTGGTTTTGAAGCTGACCTTTTTTTCATATAATCTAATCAATTGACAACAGCTTGATACTCATTTAAAATAAAGAAGTCCATTGACCAATTAAATTGGAATTTATCTTACATTTTACTTCTTGACTTCATTTTGTTTGTGCATTTACTTCTGACTGTTTTCTAGCACAGGTTAAAGTAATCTGCTTAAGTTTTTTATTAGAGTGATATTTTGAGGCTCTCAATTTTGCTAGCTACTGTTCCTGTTGCTGGGGCGAGAGCTGCTGGCTCTGTGCGTCGCAGGTTCCACGCCCCTAGAGCAAAGGACAGCGCAACTGTCTTAAGTGTTCAGGAGCCTCTTGCTCACCTGAATGTGTTCTGGGGTTGTTGGTTGGTTGGTTTGGTTTTTTGGGGGATTTTTGAAGCTGGAAGAAGATGATCCATGCTGTATCCTGGGTTTTGTTCTATGCATCTTTATAATAACCAGTATGGAGATCTGGCAAGAGGGTATTTTAAAATAATGCATGCTACTTTTCAGTCATTTTTCTCTACACTGCTGCATCTCTTCCTGAGTAGTCTGGTTTGTTTTTTATTTTTATTTTTTACGACTGACTGGAGTTTTCTTGCATTAAGATTTCAGTGATTCAGGTGGTAGTTTCTTTGTGTCCGCTCATTTTCTGTAACATTTAGACTGTTAGTTTGCACGCTTTTGAATTGCTGATTTTATTACTAAAAATCAAACTTTACATTTTTATATGAATTGGTAGCTGTTTGGGATCTTTGCCCAATTGTAATTGATACCATCCTTGTAGCTGGACTGAAAATAGGGAAAGGTGGCTTTTTTTTTCCTTATTAAGTTTAAAGTGGTAGGAAAACAAATGTCAGCCTTAAGTCAGTAATATGTCGAGAATCGAAACCTTTTTTTCTTGCTTCTAAAATGGGTTGTTGCTTCCTGGTTATCTTCTTTGAAGAATAGATAGGGTTAGATAAACCATCAGCCAATTATTCCTAAAATTTAGTTTTCTGAAGCAGAGCTGAATCATTCCCTATACAGCTGTTGGATTTTGTGGGAGGAGGTGGGAGGAGGAAATGTAGTACATAACTTAATCTGTTTGTGGACAATGAAGGGTTGATTTTAGAATCACAGTAGAACCTGCAGATTTAGTTAAATCTGTCCAGATCAGGTTAGGCATCTTTTTTCTTTTTATTTCTTTTTTTTTTTTTTTTAATGCAACTTGAACATTTTATTCCTTAACTTACGCAAATTAATTTAGATGAAGTGTTCATTTGCAGAGGTTCTTGGAAAAGTGTACATTCTATTTATTGAACTTTTGGATAAGAGAATATTTGTACCACGTTCTGTAGAAGTTGTATTGCCAAATGTTACCAGAGGTTTAATGTATTTTGCTTTTAAAAGGACCGAGTAGGAGGAAGAGTTGCTACCTTTCGCAAAGGGAACTACGTTGCTGATCTAGGAGCAATGGTGGTGACGGGACTTGGTGAGTTTTTCAGAACAAAAAGGAGTGGGGAGGAAAATTGTTTGAGATGTTACAGATGTGAAGACTGATGCTGTTTCCTTTCATGGCCAAAATAGTTGGGTATTTTTAACTATTAAAAAGTGGATGTTCTAGTTCAGCCTCTTTGGCAGTTAGCTTTTTTCGTCAGTGAATCTTCAGAATAGATGGCAGCCTGCGCTAAAAGCTGGGATTTTTGTTTGTGCCACAGCTCTCGTTGGGTACTGAAGTCACATGGGTGCTTGTCCTGTCCTCAGACCACTGCAGATCCATTCTTTTACAATTTGCTTGTGCTTAGTGGAATTCTTTTCTCTTTCCTTGGCATGCTGCCCTATTGTGTGTCTGCTCCTTGGCCCCGTTCCTCTGAGGTGGTATCTGCACGGGGTTCGCTGCGCAGATCTTTCTAAAGCTGCTTTTGCCAGCTGCCAGTGGCCTCTGAGCTCAGGTCTGTGGACTGGATTTCAAAACAACTCGCTTAGTTGTTTCCTTGCGTCTTCCAAAGTATAAGCTGAAACTGAGCATGGAGCAGTAGGCATGTAGTGTGGGGGTCAGTTGAGTAGCTAAGAGCAAAGTAAATGAGAGCAAATAAATAGCAAAGTTAAAAGATGGGAGAGACCCCAAAGGGATGGAATGTTTTTTTCATTTACGGGTGGGAGGGGAAAGGGAGGAGGGGGAATGAAGAGCAGAGCAATTCTAAAGAGAAAGCTCTGCTGGAAGCCAGGATTTAAACCCCAACAGTCCTTTCACTAAGCGATTTCAAAAATAGTTGTAAAAATACTGTCAAACAAGCCATATTTCTTCCTATTTAATGCTGGTTTATGGGATGGCATCAGTTATTGATACTGGTTACTCTGCTAAGAAGGTGGGGCAGGTGTTTAGTGTGGAATACCCTTCAGTAATGCAGTGAAATGATAAAATATTATAAAACCTGTAATAAAACCTAACTGAGTTTTACTGACTGCCAAAACTTGGTGTCTGTCATATGGTTAGTCTCGATTATTAAAAACTGCATACAAAAACTGTCTCCAGACAAAGAGTATTGAAGTTGCACAGTTGTGGTTAAACAGATTTAAGGTTGCCTAGTAAAAGACTGTAATGTTTTCTTATTTGATTCATCATGGGTGAGATGGTGGCTGAACTTCCCCTCTATTTTGAACTAAGGCACTGGGTTGGATTTGGTTGCAGAATCAGAGAACACTGGGAAGCTTGATCGGAAAAACTTTTCCCGAAGTTAATGTTGTGGAGGAAATCCATGCTGCCTCTCCTCTGTGCCATTTCCCATTTGTGTCCGTTTCCTTTCCTTTCGACTGCTGTGCTTACAGAGAGGCTTTGATGTTTGGTGATTCTGGATGCTTAAAGTCAATGGTTTCTGCCTTCACCATGTTTCTACATGGAACCTCCTAGATTGTTTTCTAATCTATTTTGTTACACATCTTGCAGGTACAGTTGGTGTACGTGGTTCATCTTCATGGATTATAATCACGGTGTCAACTTTTTAGGGGCTGAGTTCTTCAGGTTGCATTGCTGGGTCACCACACTTGCAAAAGCTCCTGAAGTTACCGTGCAGCTGTGGGAGCTTTCCGCTCTGCTCGCAAACCTTCTGAAGATGTGTTTATAGCTGTAAACTCTTGATCATATGAAGGTTGCTGCCGCCTTAGGCCTCTGCTTTTATAATCAGCCCTTTTTTCGTGTTGTTCTTTAAGTATTGGTGGGCAGGTTGGGTTTTTTTCATGACCTTGTTGCAAGCATTGCTGTGAAGAGTAGGCCTTTGGCAGTGTTGTACTACTTCACGGGAATGCGTTTTGCTCTGGAGGTGGTGTGTTTAGTCTCTGAAATTGCTTTAACTGGAATTTTTATTTCATTGCAGACAATCTTTGCAGGAGTACTGTTAACTGTACAAAATGTTTTCCAGGAGGAAATCCCATGGCTGTGGTCAGCAAACAAGTGAATATGGAATTGGCTAAGATCAAACAAAAATGCCCACTTTATGAAGCAAATGGACAAGCTGTAAGTCTGATACTGTTTTCATGAACTTTTTAAAAAAAAAAAAAAAAAAATAGTATCTCAAGTGTATTTGCTACCAGGCTATTGGTCTAGCAGGATATAGCTTCCAGAAAGAAGAAGAGTAATGGGAGTGTGTGTCCATTTTTAGGCAGTGCAGTAATATTCTGACATACCTGCACCTGTTCTTCTAAAAGCTGTTCTTTCCACGTGAGTGACTTCGAATTTCAGAGGTTTTGTGGAAGCTAAGTTCCTGTTTGTTCTTTCCGTATTCCTTACTGTTTTTCCTGAGACAGTTGTCTGTCTCATTCCTCTTTGAAACAATTGTCTGCTGTGCTGGCACTCTAGCTTTTGTTGCTGCTGCAGCTACTCCTTTTCCCTGAAATAAGCTCATTCTGGGTGTTCTACTTATCTGTTGCTTTTTGAAGACTTGACTAACCAATGCCAGCTGGTTGGATGCATGCAGCAGTTCAGCAATAATATTCTAGAGCTGGGAATTACAAACTTACTTAGCTTGCTTTCTTTCCGTTGTAATGTCAAGGAGTTGTTAGAGACAGAAATGAGAGATCCTAGTTTAGTGATGAATCTCATGCATGCATTGGCTGGAAGTGTCCCTACCTCGAATCTTAAAACGTGGTACTAAGAGTAATTTCTGAAAGACGACAGGTGGGGATCCTGGGCTTCTTGCTAGAGGCCTGAAAAAGTGATCTTTGGCACAGACTTGTTATAACCTGGCACCTGCAGCTTTTCTTACTGCACATGACTGAATAAGGTGCTATAATAAACTCAGGGAAGGCCACCAAGCCAGTAGAGCTGGTAGACAGTTCTAGCATTCAGTCTGCTCTCATGTCATGAAGCCAGTCCTGCCTGTGACCTGCTTGCCTCTGCAGTGCTGGGTTTCCCCTCTCCCAGCTGTTTTCAGTGTCTGCCCAAGTAATGCTTCAGAATCTTGCAGCAGGACAGATGTGTCCCTGTGCAATTTGAAGAGACTCCCTCTGTTAACACCACCCGATAAGACACACAGTTCAGCTACTTTGAACTTTAGACCATGCTTTTATTCTCCCAGGAATCTCTGAGAAGCCTGCAGCTTTCCTTTCTGCAGCCCACTCCTTTCTGTTCACAGCGTGCTAGATCACCTGTGTCCAGCTGAGCCCCTCAGGCCTGGGCAGCTCCAGCACCCTCTGCTCTAGGAGTCTCCCTTGCTCCAAAAGTTGTCAGCTTGCTTGTTGCAGACAAAGCTTGATATGTATAACTGGGTATTTTCCAGACTGAATTTTATCACTTCCTTGTGTTGAATGTTGTCTTGATGACTCTGTAATGAGCCATATGTTGCCCATGTTGTCTTTCTCTTGTTTTTTCTTAATATACTCCATGATGCTGCTTCCACCAAGGCAGTTATTTTATTAGTCCTTTCTTTTCCTTTTTTAGTGTTGCCACGCTTTTTCCTTTGATTATTAGCAGTGCTAAAAATTAATTAAATTGCTGATTACCAATTTCTGCAATGTTTTCACATATTAGTACTTTGATTTTCACCCCACTGTATAAATCTTACCCTGAAATAGCTGCTAGGCTACTTCTGTTACATTTCTTTCTGCTTGTTGAGAGGACACTGTCAAGGTCCTACTTTTATAAACAGTGAAAAAAAGTTTAGTTTAAGCTGAAATCACATTCTACGGGATATACTTCTTCCAAAGGTGCGTTCACATTGGGTTACTAGTGAGCATTGGGCAAGTAACTTCTCAGCACCCTTTTTGGGAGCAAAAGTTCTGCTCACCCTGCCAATAGAGAGTCTGCTAATTTGATAGTGTCCCTTTGCATTTTCCTTTCATCTTATCCCTGAGCCCAAGTCCATTTGTTGCCCCCCTCTTCCTCAAAACCTGCTCAATTTGTGTCCACCAAATAGCCAAGAGCAAATAGTCAAGCATATTGAGAAGAGCAGATAGCCAAGAGCACAGCCTTTCCTGTCCCAAGTGAAAGAGCTGTAATGTTCACCTCTCCCTCTGGCATTTTGGCAAAGTTCATGGGCTTGACAGGAGGCAAGTTGTAGCTTTTAAATTAGCTAATTCCCCAGCCGTCCTAGGAAGTATCAGAGATCTCCCTGGAAAACAATATACACCAGATAACTGTTCAGACATCTTAAAGCAGAGACTGCATTTAGAAGTCTAGGAACAAGTAATAATCGGATGTCCTTCATGTCTGGTTACTATCTTGACAGCTTTCTGCATCTAAACAAGTATCTTTTCAGTGGTTAAACGTTCCTGCCAGTCTGTCTACATCTTTTTTTCCACTATCTGCATTTTACTGAAGGGCAAAGTACAAAAGACTTACACACTGAGTGTACATCCTCATCGTTAAGCCATGCACTGAAGGCATAAGTCTGCCTTGCAGCTCACAACTGTATGGTGACCCAGGATTGAGCGGTTTTATACCTTTAGTTACCACTCCTCTAAAGCGTGGTTGTTCTTGCCTGTCCCTTATTAATTAGATTGTGCAAAAATCTTCCTTGTTTCTGCTTGCTTCTGTTGATTTAGTGAGTTTGGTTTTAGTCTTTGCCATGGTGTTACCTCATTGAGAAAGACTTTCTCCAAAGAGGTGAAGACAGAATCACATTCTCTGCATACAGGATGGGCTCTTAACGTTTGCAAGTTTCAGATCCTTTCTTTGTGGTGAGTTGGTTTCCTCCAAAAAATGTACCAGTTTAGGCGTTCTGAATCGTCTTTGGGAACTTCTACTGCCTGCACAGCTGCCTGAGCATTGATGTCAGCTGTGAAAAGGTAGGCACTGTGAATATCAAATGTAATTTCTCTTCCCATTCTTCACCCTAACTTCACACTGCTGCGAAGGGTGCACGCTGTAATGCCACCATCAGCTTGTTTCCCCCCAGGATCCTCGCGTCCTTTCTTCAGAGCTGATACCCAGCTGTCAGTTACCAGCCTGTCCTGATGCACGGGGGCATTCCATCACCGTTCCAAGGCTTTGCCTTTGAGTTTCATGAGGCGTTTGTCAGCCCGTTCCCCCCACTTGTTGAGTTTACACTGAGGGGAGAGGAGGGTGGGGAGGCCTCAGAGCAGACCTTACCCTTCAAGTCCGAGGCAGAGGAAATGGGTGCTTTAGCCTTTTCCATAGCTGTGTATGTAGAGAGCCCTTCTTCTTACCCTCTTACGTCCAGCATCTCAGTTTCAACTCTGGCTGACTTCTGGTTTTCCTAACGCCATCTCTGCATGCTTGGGCAGTGCTGCTTCGTTCATGACAGGTGACTTGTGGTGTGATAATGGATGCTTAAGCTGGAACTTGGAAGATGAAGCTTAAATAATAAAAGTGATTACCATCAGTGTCTTGAAACTGGGGCTCTAATTTTAATTTTTCAACCTTCAGGAGAGCTATTCTACACCTCTTAAGCCAGAAAAGATCTTAGAAATTTAATCATTCAGTGGAGTCTGCCCTGTGGCTCTGGAGGTCCTCTATTCAGTCTTAAGGCAGCACTGAGCAGTAGCAAGTCCTCTCTTTTCCACTACGAGTTCTACTGAGGACGTGCCCAAGTTCTGGCCCACTTAAGCCAGAACCTGCAGCAGAATCCTTGTTCATCCCCAGGGTCTTCTTTTCAGAGGCAGAGTCACGTACCTTTGGATTAACTGTAAGGAAGTAGCCTAGAAACCAAGTCATTTAGATCATGCCTTTTCCTTCCCAGCTCTTCCTTTTTAATGGCTAAAAAAACTAACAGGGCACAGTAGTACGTACCCACACTGTAAAAGTAGATTCTGGTGTTCAGGTGTGGTGCAAGAATGCCAAGGTTAAGTCAGTGTTGGGTGCGTCACTGGAATGTGACAAAAAAAGTTCATGGTGTTGAAGCATTCTAGTACATGTAGGAAAATAGTCTCATAGTTGTGAAATACATCTTCTACTTGGTATGAAACCCAAATCTTTCTGAATGTAATAGGTGCAAACTACTGTTACATAGCTACGGAGTTCTGTAATTGTTATCAAATGTGACTTACATAACTGTTATCAAATGTGACTGGCAACAACTACTAGAGAGGATGGCGTAGAGGAATCACAAGTATGGATCTGGCTAAAGAGGAAGTTTCAGCATGTAATTCTGAAGGGGAGCAGTATCAATCAGGGAAGGCAATACAGGTGTTGGGGATAGATTTTCAGTGTTTTCATGAATGAGCAGAAATATAAGTGTGCATCTACATCTTGTAATTATAGATTGGACAAGACTGGAGAGAAGTATAGGGAGAGTTTGAAATAGCCTTGTATATAGCTAAAAAATAATAATCTTTAGATATGTGTTCTAGCGATCATATAATTTCTGTCTTCTATAGTGCTGTTGTATAGAATGTTCCATTCTTTGAGCTGGCAGCGTCTCAGAACTTTTACTGTGTTTTAAAAGTGCATGATCTTGAGAACTGAACAGTGGATATAGTATTGAATATAGTAGTGTCAAAAATGAGATCATTCATTTTTGAGACATAATAACTTTGAGTAATAGAATTTCAGTAATAAGAAAGGAGAACCTAGCACTTGCTGCAGAGTAGGTGAGTCACAAATCTTTGGCAGCCATGGGGTGGGGGAGGTATCTTCATTCTGAAGATTCTCTCGGAAAGGTAGATCTATCAGAAATAGGGAAATTCATGTCATGATGCAGTAAGTCTGCAGGGAGACGCTACCTGCAGAACAGTGTGGAGTTCTAAGACATTTCACTGCAAGAATAGCGAAAGAATCAACATCTTAGTATAGCCAGTTGGAAAAGTTGGCTTGTTATGCTTGTGGTACATACCCAGAGATGAAGTATGACTATTCATTGTGAACCTCGGTGTTTCAGTCTGGGAAAATGCCAGACAAGAAAGACCTATAGAGCTAGAAGGTAACCATTGGCACAAGAACAAATGCTGAGAGTGGCCAGTTGCAAAGTGGAAGAGTACTCCTAGGTAGAGCAATGAGATGCTGATGGAACTTCCCAGTGACACAGGGTGCACTGCACATACAGAGGTAGGGATCAAGAACAGTTGCAAAAGAGCCATCTCATGGAGTCGTAGGGATAGGCTTAGCGCTGTTAACACCAGTTCTCAAGCTCTTTTTGGTCTGGTTAGCAATCATCCAAGAGCTTTCCCAGTCTTCTGAAGTATATACTTTTTTTTTCCCCTCCTCATGCTGATTTGCTCTTATGCTCATCCATGTTTTCTCTGCAGCCTTTGTTTAACCTAGAATGGGTCTAACAGATGTTAATACCATGTGACGCTTGCTCTTTTCAGCGTGCAACCATCATCACCAAACTGGTATTTCCACACTGGCAGCAGCACACACTATTTAAATGAGTCTCTTCAGTACAGTCAAATACCAGCATTCCTGAGGAGGGGCCGTGGAGAAGGAAATGCTGAGCTCCTCTCCCTGGTACCCAGGGACAGCAGACGTGGGAGTGGTTCCAAGCTGCACCAAGGGGTGTTTAGACTGGTCATTAGGAAGCATTTCTTTACCGAGACAGTGTTCAAACACCGGAACAGGCTTTCCGGAGAGGTGGTCGATGCCTCAAGCTTGTCAGTGTTTGAGGCATTTGGACAATGCCCTTAATAACATGATTTAACTTCTGATCAGCCCTGAAGTGGTCAGGCAGATGGACCAGGTGATCATTGTAGGTCCCTGCTAACTGAAGTAGTCTGTTCTATTCACGCTGAGCATTCCAAAAGATAAGTTACTGTCCGTCTACTTCTACTGAGCTATGCCGAGCCCTCTAGGGCCTTGTGATTGTGTAGACCCATCCTGCCGTCAGAGTGGTCTTTTGTCCTGTTGGCAAGCTTCTGAAGCTTTAATGAACACACCTTCCAGTAAGGAAATCTTTGTGTGCCCATAAATTGGTTTGCTAAAGTTTTTATGCCGGAGAAGTAGGTTGTCGTTGTGATTTGCCCACTCTTCTTGTAGCTCTTTGGCCAGACATCCTGGCAAAGTGACTTTGTGTCCTACAAGTCGCGGTGTCTGACCATTTAAGAGAGCTGAGGGTATTAAATTTCTTTTTATAAGGGCTGTTCTCAGCTAGCTACTTTTTTGTAGTACTCTTAAAGTGTCACTCTAGTTTGGGGCATGTGATACCTTTTTTTTTTTTGAGCACTGCTCTGTGAATTTATCTGCACCCTGCCTTTCTGATTCCTCTGATTTGGGGAGTGGTAGCATTTTGAGTTTATTATAAGGTGGTGTGAACTGAGACTGCACTAGAGAAGGTGATCTGTGTCATTGCTCTGGTTTCTTTTAAAATTTTCTTTGTACTACTCGAGTGTCTTGTCTCTGAGGCTTCAAGCTTTGGTGACCTATATTTACTCTTCTTTATTTATGAGTAGATTGTTAAGAAGAAAGTTTGTTCTTTTGACTCCTAGGTTCCAAAAGAGAAAGATGAAATGGTGGAGCAAGAGTTTAATCGTCTGCTGGAAGCCACCTCCTATCTCAGTCATCAGCTGGATTTTAATGTTCTCAATAATAAGCCTGTCTCCCTAGGTCAGGCTCTGGAGGTTGTCATACAGTAAGTGACTTCTCTCTTCATGGCAGACTTTCCTATTTTGTGGAGGATTTTCCAAAAGATACCTGAAACAATTGTGATGCTCCTCGGGTAAGCATTACCCACTTAATATAACTGTTTGGTCTCTGCCGAGTTCTTGTTTGTGTATGTGTTTCTTGTTTATTGAAGCAAAATATACCAAAGATGGTTAAAGCAGTAAACATCTTTTCTTGAAAGCTTTCTGAAAATCACTGCTATAGTAACTGATAGTGGATAATTGACTTAGTACGAAGTGGTGTACATACAGCCCACTTATGCTACTTGAAAGCTAAAGGCATTTGAAATACGCCTTTTAATCATAGTAGGTAACTTCAGACTCACATCTTAGCTAGTCAAGTATCTCTTATTTATAGAAACTTGTATTAATTTTCTAATTGCCATATGCGTATTTGCTACAATATCCCATGATGTGCTCTTATTGCATTACACTAATTAGATTACAATAATGAGTTGTCTCATTAATGCTAGGATTTTATGCTTAACTGACTCTCACTTCTCCTGTTTTCCAGATTGCAGGAGAAGCATGTAAAGGATGAGCAGATTGAACACTGGAAAAAAATTGTGAAAACACAGGAGGAATTGAAAGATCTTCTTAACAAGGTCAGATGATGACATTTAGAACAAGAGGATATCATTGTGTTCCTCAAAGTGGAAAAATGTACAAAAACTTGCATGCAAAAATATCAGAAAGTTGCCATTAATGCTGTTCTTAAATGTATCTGTTCCTTGAAGCCCTGCCTAGAAGCACTGCTATGACCAAGGAACCTTTTTGAGGAGGAGCACAGAAGTGATGAGTCAGAAGGCTGTAAAACATTAATATGGGAAAAGAAACGGAGAGGAGCAACATGATGCCCAGTGCTTTTTCATAGCTTCCTTTAGAGATGTTGCTAATGACTGAGGCTTTTGGGGGCTTATTTGAAAATGTTTACTTTCTTCACCACAAATCTGATTTGTAGTGTAGAAACGGTGGTTTAGGCCTACTTACAATGCCTTTGGTTGTGGTAGATGACATCTTTACTTCTCCGTGGAAGTTTCTCAGATTAAAAATGTCGGAGGACAGTTCTCATATCCTAAGTTATTTGCAGCATGTTTTGTAAGATATCGGTGATGTTGGGTATAAGCCATGTTGTTTGGGGGTTGGTGGTATTTACTGTGGTTTCTTGGAGGTAGAATTTCGTCTAAATAAATCTGCCAAAACCAGGAAATCTCTTTGGTACAATGGCGTAGTTTGAGATTAATATCTGTTTTGCACGGTAACTTGTATGAAAAATCTACCTTCCCTAATCTTTTTTTTTCCCCCCCCTCCTTTCCCCTTTTCCTACTCCACCTGAAAAAGATGGTGAATTTAAAAGAGAAGATTAAAGAACTTCATCAGCAGTATAAGGAAGCATCAGAAGTGAAGCCACCTCGGGATATTACTGCAGAGTTCCTTGTGAAAAGCAAACACAGAGATCTGACTGCACTTTGCAAGGTAAAGGAGGACACACATACAGCACTGAAGTCGGTGGTTTCTGAGGACTTCAGCAGCCAGATAAAATTAGCTGATAGAAGTGCTTCCACTCTTTCTCTGATCCAGCGCTCTCAAGAGAATGTGATTGATGGTAACTCTGGGTTGTAATACTGATCACAGGGCTGCACTGAGTACCTTTAGGTACCTGTCTTTCATGGCTCATGACGCAGAGGATTAACACATTGTAGACTCAGTGTTGGGTAAAAGGCTGTGCTGACTCGTGTCAGACAGCATTTCATGTTTTGAAGGCTAAATTTTAGGTCAGACTTGGTTTTAGTCATGCTGGGTCTCACAGTAGTCCAGAAGAAAAATCTGTGCTTGAAGAGAGATGTTCTTTCTCTAAGGTAAGAAAGGTGGTTTCCTGAGTAGAAGACTATCTTCTGTTCAAAGATGATGATTTACAAAGCTCTGTCTTGACAAGGAGAGTTAGTCCTGCTCTCTGTGTGTATCTTGGTGTAGAAATGTGCCTTGATAATGAAACCTTAAAAACTGTTCTTTCTATGATAGTGCAAGACACCTTGCTAACCCAGGTCAGATAGAACCAAGTATCATTTTTCAGATCCTGGTTCAACAGAAGATACGCCCTTCATTTGGAAGCTCAGTGTGTTTGTGCATACATAAGAAGTAGCTCTTCTATTTTGTAACCAATGAACATCTTTGTGGTCTTGTCAATACTGTTGGACACTCCAAATTGTTCTGCCTTGAAGGAAAATGATTGTCACCTTGAGACCTAGTTCCACCAATGCTTTTTAAAAAAAAAGAAAAAAACCCACCACCTCTGAAAGAAGCTTGAAGTACATCATGTCTTTGCCTTTTACATGAGTGCTTCTGCTTTGGAAATCTGTATGTTCGATATTAAGTATAATCTTTTAAGAGAGAAAGAAGAATAGAAATAACATTTTGTGCAATATGAAAAAGCTCTCAGTACCATAGGAACCCTACAAATACCAGGAGTGTGATGGACCTTCATGTTCTTCAGATCCAAGTGCTTAAATTCCGGAAATCTTAGCATACTAATCTTTTCTGCGGTGTGGCACAGACTTCTGCATATTCGAACAGCAGAAGGGCAAAATATGCTGGATTAAATATTGAAAAAATAACTGGATTTAGATTCCACTAAAACTGTAAATCTTCCACTGATTTCTCTTGAGATTATGTTTAGTCTGGTGCTATGTGATGTCTTTAACTCCTCTTACATGTAAACTGATTTTAATCCTGGCTTTTAATCTTACTAGGAGTATGATGAATTGGCAGAAACACAAGGAAAACTGGAAGAGAAGTTACAAGAACTTGAAGCCAATCCACCAAGGTAAAGATAGAAACTATAAAAATAAATACTCAGGAAAGCAGGTTTTTTACTACTTTTCACCAAGTTTCAGAAATGCTGTGGTATGCTTTCTTTTAATTATGGTAACTCAAGGGATTAGGAAGATACACAAAGTTTGAGCTTCCTCAGTTTTAGAACTCATCTTCCTCGTTTTTAGAGGTAACTCAGCCAAGACCCACCTTATTTGTCTGGGGTGCCTTAAGCAGAACTCCTTACTGTAATTCCTGCCTGATCTCAGGAAGCCTTTGGGATCTGAAATCCCCATCAACAGTGATAGCATACCAGTCCTGCTTATTTTGGCAGAATATTATTTTGTGCTGTGTGTGATTATACTGGGGTTTAGTCATCTTATTTAATCATGCTACTTAAGCCATTACTTATGTAAATTTTTTTTAATTTCTAAAGTTAGGTTTCTGGCTTCATTTAGAATATTTTACATGAACTGTACTTTGAAAATGTGAATTTTCCATTTTTTTTATACTGAGTTTTCATGAAGGAGATCAAAATGCTTGAAACAATCTGCTTGTGTTTTTATTAATTTTTTTGTTTCTCCATTAAGAAGGGACTCAAACAGAAAAGATTGTTAATAAATTTTCAAAAACAGTGCATTTCCAACATCTACTCTAGCAAACTAAGTGTCTTTCTGTTGTATTTTTTTTCCCCTAGTGATGTTTATCTGTCATCAAGAGACAGGCAAATACTCGACTGGCATTTTGCAAACCTAGAATTCGCTAATGCTACGCCCCTATCTACGCTTTCACTGAAGCACTGGGACCAGGTAGCCAATTAATGTTTTCATTCAGCAGCACACTAAAAACTTACGCTATATTGATTTCATTCTAGTGGAAGCTTCCCGATGTTAACACTTTCTAAACACTTAAGTGCTGTCTGCTATTATGCAGATACTGAGCTCTTACATGATTATTATTTGCTGATGAAATTCCAGACAGCTTTTTGTTAGTGCCAAAACAATCACTAATAATACTGTCTGCTGAAAGTTCCTATGCTTATTACCTGACTAATAAACAGAAGGGGTTTCAAATTTGTTTGACTTGCTCTTTGGAAAAAAGTTTTTGAATAAATTTTGCCATTGTGTAGATTTGCTGATGATTTTCTGTTGTATTATGTGATTTCGTGACAAATGCAGGCTTTTTATGCATCTCCGTTTTAGGATGATGACTTTGAATTCACAGGCAGTCACTTGACTGTGAGGAATGGATACTCCTGCGTGCCTGTAGCCTTGGCAGAAGGGCTGGATATTAAATTAAACACAGCAGTGCGCCAGGTTCGCTATACAGCATCAGGTAAATGAAACCACCTCCTCCAGAACACTGCTCTGAGGGGGTGTGATCACAGAAATTAGATTTCAGTCCTTCTGGAAGAAGATGTGAAGATTGATCTTGTAAAAACCCTCCTGTTGCATGTTTTGGGTTAGATGAACATCCACGTTACTTATGGTGATTAATTGTGTAGGAAGCTGTTAGAGATTTATGAACATTCAATGTTTTTCGTGTATTTCTGTGGCTGGTTTGATGCCACCCTTTTCAGTTGCATTTGCTGATTCCGAAGTTTACATTCATTCTCCCATTTCTTTACTTCATTGAATGAAGCATTTAGAGTAAGAGGTCTTGGCCTGCCTCAGACTTGGTGCCACAGGACCTGCTATTAGAAGTATAAATGAATGTAATATGGACTCAAACAAATTGAAGCAATACATCTTTTTGTTGTTCTTCAAAACATTGGACAGGAAACTGTCAGCTGGGAGAGCAACTCAACGAGAGGCCCACTCTCTACTTGCTATTTATTTATGCATATATTTAAATATCATTTACTGGCCTAGATGAAGTGTTAGGCTTATCCCATTATGGCCATTTTCAGAGGCTGTGTAAATGACACTTTCTGGAATTGAGCTACATGGCCAGTAACATTCACTTGCCTACAAGTTAAATAATTGTTAGTGTAAAGCTGTCTCCATCAATGAAATGGTTTCTGATGCAGATATGTTTTGATGGTAGTTTCTTTCATTTTTAATCTGATGCTCTTGTTTCCTGCCCTATTAAATGGTTGTGTTTTTCTCCCATTTCCAGGCTGTGAAGTGATAGCTGTAAATACCCGGTCTACTAGCCAGACTTTCATTTACAAATGTGACGCTGTGCTGTGCACTCTTCCCTTGGGAGTGCTGAAGCAGCAGCCTCCAGCCGTGCAGTTTGTGCCCCCTCTTCCCGAGTGGAAGACGTCTGCAGTGCAGCGTATGGGATTTGGCAACCTCAACAAGGTGACATGGTCTTTGAGGGCACTGCGGCAGACCAGGGGCTGCAGCAGGTGGTATCTGAAATGTGTGTGGAACATGTACAGTGGATGAGAGGAAGAACGCATTTCCGCTGCTGTTTTGCTAGATTTGGATGCTGAAAATTATCTGAAGAACTGCAAGGACCTCGTCTGTATTTCCCACACAATTTTTAAATAGTTAAATTTCAGAAGTAGGTTGACTCAGTATGTCTACTGTACCTTGCTAACTAGCAAATTTGTAAACTGTGTGAGCATGTTAACCTATGGAAGGCAGTATAGGTGTATGCCTTTGTGTTATGTATGTGCAGTATATATTCAGCAGATTTTCCTTTCTTGACCTTTCCAGTGATAAACATCAATGAGTGTAACTGTCTTCATTTTTATTTTTTCTGTGCGCTCTTCCTAACTCCTGATTCTTTCGGTCTCTAGGTTGTGTTGTGTTTTGACCGTGTCTTCTGGGATCCAAGCGTCAATTTGTTTGGCCATGTTGGTAGCACCACTGCAAGCAGAGGAGAACTTTTCCTGTTTTGGAACCTGTACAAAGGTAGCTGTGATGCATGTCTGCTTTCACCAGTGTCTGATTTGTGGAGTTTCAGATCTAGAAAAGGGCACTTAAGATGCTGTTAGTGTTCACATATGAATATAGTAATAAGATGGTATTTGTAGGAAGACAAATGGAAGCAGAGAGCACCACTGATGTGCAAAGAAGTCTGTAATGAAATAGGGCAGAACATGGATGAGTATGGGTTTCCTAATGCTGACCTCCAGGCTACCTACGTCTGTTAAACCGCATTGCTGCCGATTTACGGTAACACTAGCGTTTTTGTAGACTGCTTTGTCTTGCACCTTGGTGAAGTCGTCCTGTTATCATGGTTGCTTCTATTAAGCATCTATTTAGTTTTCAGTAAAACAAATTCTGAAAAACGTAACTTTTTTGATTTTTATTGTGCTGCATTAAGAAAAAAGCACCAAAACCTAATCTAACATGTTTATATAGTATTTCAGAAATATAGCAAATAATGCGTGTTCAGTTTGCTGAAGAGCAGTGTTGTCTTAGTTTAGTATCTGCTTTGTCAGGACTGTGTGTTGAGCTCTCCCGGAAAAGGGTGATTTGTCTCTGCAGCATTTCTGAATTAAAAGCCATTTCTTCGTTTGTAAGTCTCTGTGAGTTTCCCTCTGGCCACTTGGAACACAGTTTGAGCTCTTCCCTCTTTCACCAAGCTTCTCATACAAATGGGACTGGCATCCAATTTAGTCTTAGTTTTGAAAACCTCAGCTTCCAGGATGTTTTTTAAGTTGAACCGACAGTGTGAAGCCAGACCTTCTTCGTGGGGCGGGCTGTCTGATCTGGGTTGATGTGATAACTGTAGATGAGCCCCATCCTCTGTGACCTCGAGTCCTTTCTGGTACAGGTGATGGCTGCCCAGTATTTCAAACTTCAGTGTCTAGGAGCTAAGCAAGGCAAATTACATTTTTTTCAGATGTAAGGGGTGCTGTTGTCTTGTGTATTCCCTTACGTGGCTGAGCTGCAGAACTCAGTGCTTGTAGGATATCCTGCTTGGATTTCTTAGGGGGGTGCTGTGCAGCCTTTGCAGGGTGTTGAACACTTGGTTTTGGTGGAGCAGACTAGAGGCTTTGCGATAGCTCCGTTGTGATAGCAAGCAGTAGAGGCTTTGCGATCGCTCCGGTCTCCTTGCTGGGCGTTACCGTTCCTGCTGGCTGAGCTGCAGGCCCATCCGTACAGTTCGGACGCAGCGTGCCTCGCAGGAAGGCAAGCTGGGGTGTCTCCAGCTTGTTGAGCGGATGGCCTTGTTTCCTGTTCTGGGCAGCAAAGCAGCTCTGACTGTAGATCATGGGTTGACTGACAGTCACTTTTAGAACTCCTCTTTAAAAAATGCCTAAGTGGGCAAAAGGTACAGCTCTGCCTGTTTGTACAGCTGAACTTTGCTATTAGTAGTTTTATTTTATCTGCAGCTGGTGTGTGCCACAAGAGTTTGTCAGAAGATATTTTCAGTAAGCATACCGGTTTTGTTCATTGCTATTTATCGTGCTAAAAGCAAAGTTGCATATACAGTGAGCACTATCAAATGTGTTATTTTTCTTGCAGATGACCATTTAAAGTACTGGTGGGTTTTTTTCCACTCTGTGATGGGCACAAGTTTTCTTTTAACTGGAGAAAATTGCTGCTCAAGGAAAGTGCCTTTCTAGGGGTTTTAATTGTTAAAATGTTTGATAAGACTTGACTGGAGAAATACAAGTCATGAGCCTTGGGCAACAAGGCTGTTCACGTATCTGCTTTCGTGGCTTTAAGATGGCTCTGTGACATGCTTAACAAATAGTTTTAGGTGGAGCGCAAAGACATAAAATAGAAATGCAATAAAATCCTATGCTAGAGGACAAGTCAGATGGCTGAAATTGAAAATATCAATTACCATTTCTCATGGATAGTTAGGTGGCAGTTAACATCATTACACTGTGAAATACTGAAGCAGACCTGACTGAACTTCAGAAGCTATTATTATTTTCTACCTCATTCTGTATTTTCATAACCATAGCATTTTGGGCAGAGAGTATTTAAACTGAACACATTGGAGAACAGTTATTAATCCAGAAACAAAAAACACCAAAAAGTGTCACAGAACATACTGTATTGGCTCTGTGGAAATTCTTTAAAGGTCTTGCCCTGGCAGAGACCAGCTGGTCTCTGAGAAGTGTTTAAAGGTGGGTGGGTGAGTGGGGGGAGCGCAGCTGAAGAGGCTGCCCGTGTCTGCACTGCTGTTGGGTGACCTGTTGTAGCTCAGACAGGAATCCCCCAGGGGCTGAAGTCTAATTCATGTAGCGACTGCTGAGAAAACCTGCAGCTTCAGGAAGGCGATGCGTGTGCTGCAGCAGCTGGCCTGTGCTGTTGGTGCCTCTCGCTCCTCCGTGCTGTTGGGTTGTTGACGTAGCTGGTTAGACACCCTGCGAGATGGAGAGGCTCCATCAGCACAGGGCCGGGGAGCTCCTGAAAGAAATGCGCAGTGTGTTCTGGAAGTCCAGTGACACTTCAGTCTCTGTTTTCTTGCTTGGCTCTTCTGTTTTTGCTAGAGACATGTGATGAAAAAGCTGAGGCCCTTTCTCTGTCATAGTTTAGTGGTTACTTGCTGACCTCTGGCTAAAGCGCATTCCCTGCTTGCTGTTTGGTATCATGGCTCAGTGGACGTCACTGCCTCCACGTGAGAGTTTTTTGTGGAGCAGTGACACATGCTCATCATGCAAGAAGCTTTTCTGAGCAGCACTCTGGTATTTGTGTAGCAAAATAGTGTTCTGCTACAGCCACCTGGCTGTCTGTTACAGTGCTGAATTAATCCAGGTGACTGAACAACGACATTTCCAGGTCTGGATAAATGCTTACAAAACAGGGCCTCGTGCCTGGAAAGGCAGGATTGCCATTAAAATATTTTGGGGTAGTCTGAATACAAGTTTTCATGAACAAATTCACTGGAAGCTGCATTTTGAATATGTAGTTGTTCCATCAAGAAAAAATATGTTGGCTGAATAATTGCTGAAAAGTTTGGGGATCTCATTGTATCAAGGATGGCAAACTAGGAAAAAATTTGCTGGTGAAATGACAAAAAAAAAAGAAAAAAAAAAATCCCAATGCCTATGGATGATAGGAAACCAGTGTTTTGTTCTTTCTGTCAGTTATTTGAAAGACTAGGCTTGATTTTTCAGAAAATGGAGTTTAACTAGAGGAGCAATCTTGTATCTTTTTTCTCTAATAAATGACTTCTAGTCCCAGAGGTCGTGCGTATTGAAGTGTCTTAATTGTATCTGGAGTAGTGTAATTATCTTAGACTAGTAAGGCTATTATTACTACAAACTTCTTCAGAATTTCAAAGACTTTTGTTTTTAACCAGAATATATTATTGCATCTTCCAGCCTGCATGTCACAACTGAACTTCAGCCAGTTTTCTTTCAAGAGCAGCAACTTGACAGGGAATGTATACTGGGATAGAAGGAATTCACTAATCATTTTGGAAACCTGTACAAAAGTTAAAGCCAAATTTTTAACAAGGACTTTTATTTCCCATTTCAGTATGCTTGACATCTGTTTCTAGCTGGAGTATTTCCTTTGCTAAATTTAGGAGTTCTTAAATACCTCCAGGAGGAGAAAGATCAACTGCGAGAGTTTTCATTAAGTAACCATGCTCAGGTCTGAGTCATCTCTTGTAAATGCATGTTTCTTGCCATTGGATTATTTTGGTAGCTCTTCAATACTTACCTAAGATTTTCCTTGAATTTCTGACTACTGAAAATTAATGTTTAGTCTTACCATAGCCGGGGAGAGGTAAAGTGACCTCATCTGTTTGTTTATATGTCCTATAATCACATGAACATTCTTCACCACGGCATAACATGGGGAACTGAGTTCCTCGACGTCTGGCCATTTCACTTCTGAATTCTTCTCAGAATTGCTGTGTTTCTGGGTATTGTCCTACTGTCCGTAGTTTCCACACCATTGAGATTACTTAATGTGAACGTGCATTGGTAATGAATAAATCTAGATACTTTGTATGAGTGAAGTACTTACACAGGTAGCTTAACTGCTGTGCTGATGTTAATCATACCTAAATCAGATTGTTTGGAAGGTATTGAGTTCCCTTACATGTAGCACAGATGACTTTTAAATCCCAGTGGAAACTGCTATGTCAAACAAGTGATGTCTTCATTAAAGAAAACCTTTCCTCTCTTCTGCATGCTGTACTTCCTAATGTGTATATTTAATTTTTCATACATTGGTTCTCTTGATAATTCTGAATAGTACCGTAGCATATGTTAATTCATTTTTGCTTTTGGTAATTCAACGTGATGGTGAAAGACTTAGGACTGCTTTTGTTGGGTTTTAGTTTTTAACCTCATGACTTAGCTGCAGATCCATGCCTGTTAAAGTCCAACTTTCCTGATCAAAATGTTCGATTTCAAGAATTCATTTGTTTTTTCTCTCTCCCCAGCACCAATTTTGTTGGCGTTGGTAGCAGGAGAGGCAGCGGGAATCATGGAAAATATCAGTGATGATGTCATTGTTGGACGATGCCTTGCCATCCTCAAAGGCATATTTGGTAGCAGCGCTGTGCCGCAGGTTGGTCCGGATGCGGTGTCTTTGGGTCACCTCTCTGCGTTCCGGCGTGTGCCGCGGTTCTCGGCAGCTGTTTGGTCTATCTGTGCCACCTTTGGGTTGTTCGGAGGGGTTGGGAGGAGAGTTTTTGGGGTGGAGTTGGGGCATTTTTTTGTTTAGGCTTTTTTGGGTTGTTTGTGGGGTTTTTTGTTTGGTTTTGGAGTTTTTTTTGGAGAAGATTGTTTTAGACCAGGTAACTGTAGCTTCTCCAGAGTCTCAAATACTTCAGTTAATTGTCTACCTTTTACATTTCTGAAGTGACAGCAGAGCTGTCCATGGCTAGTGACAGCACTGCTTAACTGCTCCTTGCCATGTTGTGCACCTTCTCTAGAGTACAGTAACTGGTTTGGCTGGAAAATAACTGAAGGGGGAGGAAGGGAGTAAAGGCAGTCTTTCATCTGGATCAGTTCCCTGTGCAGCTAGCCAGCGGTTATTTAGGCACAATAAATGTAAAAGGAATGGTTAATGAAGGGGGAGTTTAGAAAATACTTAAATATTACTGAAAAAAAAAGAAGCTTGTGTACTTGATAAGTCGATTTGAAAAGCCTTATAGCTGTTCAACCTACAGCATGTTTGACTTTGTTGAATACTTGGCCTGTTCTGCTAACAGGCAGCGTGGAGGCGGTTCTTACAAACAGCATTGGCTGTGAATAAATAGCTGCTCCACTGGGATTTTGATATAGTAAAGTAATAGAAAAAATAACATGTTAACTTTAATGTACCAGTCTTCTCCGAGCATTTGGCCAGGCATAAATTGGACTGTTTACTTCCTTGGTATTGCACATAAGGAATGGATTCACTGCGTTGTCTTGATTGTGGAGTAGTTGTAGAGCTCTTTTTGAAGACGGCTTTATCATCCCCAGTATTTTACTGCTTTCTATATGATGGACAAATCCTCACAGCTGACTGTAAGCATGGATTTTTAGTTAATGAGTGGATCTCATGTTTTAGAAATACTTCATCAGTTGAATTTTACATCTCAGACTGGAGAACGCAAGAGAAGGAAACCCCAGGCTTGCCTTTCTGATAAATCCACAGCTCCTCTGAACTCTCAGAGGACAATCGCACTTCCTAATGAGATCTCTCTGAAAGGAGCTTTGAGACTCTTCTGCCTGCAGGTGCTGTAGAAATCATGTAGTGTGCAGAAATCACTCTAGAGTGAACCAAGAGCAAAGTGTTTTACTGCGGCTGCTCTCTAGTAGGGCTTTCAAGTGAGAAAATCACACACTAGAAAACTGCAGAATCTTGAGAAATATGGATTCTAATGTAGATAAATAAGCTCTCTGAATTTGATCTTTAAACTTTTAAAATATTTCAGTGCATTAACTGATAATCCATTGTTAAGGAATGACTCCATATGTGGTCAGTCATTCAAAGGAGTAAGCCGTTCTTGGCTGTGATAAGAAGGATCTCTAAGTGAGTGGCTGTTTTAACGTATTCACAGTTCAGGTGCTTGTGTACTACGAGCACTTGACAGTGGAGAGATTTTCTGGAGAGCCACTCATCAGTCTGGATAAACCGCGCTCCCGTCTGTCGGGCTGGGTGAACAACGATCTGTGAGGTGGTGCTTGCTGGGCAGGGGCCGTTCCTGGGATCTGTCCAAACCAGGGAAGCAGAGAAGTTAAACAAAAGCAACGTTTCGTTGGAATGTGAGCCTTCTTCCTCACTCCTGTGCTGCTTCTTGTCACTGTCTCATTTTCTCTTCCTGGTTTGGTTTTTGTTTCCTGAAGATAGATATAACCACTTTTTCCCCTCTGCTGTTATTCAGCACATGGAAATTTTTTCAGCCTTGCTGCGCGGCTGACCTCTGCAAGCTTCATGTCCTCTGTAGAGCAGGATTCCCGTTTTGTACCACTTCCGTTTTAGTACATGTTCTATCCCCTAACCATCCTTCTTCCTGTTTAGAGGGTTTGTCAGGATGAAAATAAAAGTTAACTTGTGCCCATGCGTGGGGGTGTGGGCACACGGACACCACCGTTGCTGTTCGGACTGGTGCAGTCTCAGTACTGGGGAACCAGTAGTTTCATGTTCTGCTCTACAGTTGTGTCTGGGTTAGCCGTACCTTCAAAACTACTTCAGCAAAGCAAAATTTCTGTCTGGCTTTATTCCCTGTTAGACTGCAATGCTTCATGTGATTACTAGAGAGAATGAAGAAATCTATGAAATGCCTCAAAGTTTTCTTTGTCAGACATACATGAGATAATATACGGTGCCATCCCAGTGGTCTCCATCCAACAAGGAGGGAAACGTGAGGTTACTCTTTTCTGAAGAAGCAGTCAGTATGTGTGAGCTGGCTCATCGCTCAGTTCCTTACCCTTTGGTTAAAAAGTGCTGAAAATTCTGATGAGGAATTCTCTCAATGAAGTCATCAGACCACATTAGGAAATGTCGTCTCCAGCCCCCAGTGATGTCTTACGCCTTGGAACATGGCCTCAGTCCTCTGTGGCCTTTCCACAGACTCAGCAGAAGGCATCAAACAATCCACGCGAGGCCAGCCGCAGAGAGATAATCTCAGATCTGTGGGTGTTGGGGTCCAGGAGACTTCCCTTGCCATGATGTGGTGCGGTGCCTGCTGGACTGGTTTCTGGAGAACACCCCCACTTGGTAAAGCCTCTTGCTCTCCTTCTGTGGGAAGGTCTGTTCAAGTAGAAAAAATTCCATTAAATATCTTCATGCCCAAGGAGGGAAGATGAGGTTCATGTCTTGATGTTTGCATTTTTACAGGGTATGATTCCTGTTAAAACTCAGTTACACATTTGGACAGAGTCTAGGCTGTTTTAAGATTCACACCCATCACTTTTCAATGTTTTTCTGCAAGGTTACGAAGATGTCCCATTTCCTCAACTGCTGTTTATGCCTTAGAGTGATACTGGTTTGAGTCCTGGTGATGCTCTCACTGCTGCATCTTTCAGTGGAGTATCTTTTGTCATGACCATTACCTTGGCAAACGAGGTGGACGGGAGAAATACAGGTGTTTGTGCAGGTGCCCTTCATGCAGTCGTTTTCCCAGATGAGTTACAGACCTTACATAGGCCTATATCGTAGTCAGATTAGAAGAGCTGTGGCTGAAAGGAAGGAGCAGGAAGGGTGCATTGTCATTATGGTGATAGCTGAAGAAAGAGCAAACAATACACTGTGTGTGTGCAGCTGACTGCCGAGTCAGAGTTCCAGTGCAGAAGCTGCGTGCAGTGGGTTCTGGTAATGGAAGCAATTAAGGCATTGCCACCAAAGGCAAGTCATTTACCTTGGTATGTGTTCTCATGGAATGTAAACTTGGGAGTTCCATCCATTAAGACTTTGTGTATTTTACTCTTGCAGTTGCATCTTTTGTATTTTGCACTAACTGTAGAACTTGCACGGTGTCAACAACTGGAGTTTCTGTCTTCTCTCAGCCTAAAGAGACTGTGGTGTCCCGCTGGCGTGCTGACCCCTGGGCCCGGGGATCATACTCCTATGTAGCAGCTGGATCTTCTGGAAATGACTACGATTTGATGGCTCAGCCAATTACTCCAGGACCAGCCATTCCAGGTGCTCCTCAGGTGAGAGATGCCTCCATTCTTTTTAGAAAAACCTCAACACAGGATGATTTTTTTGAAGTAATTTGCATACATATCTAAAAACAAATTTAAATAACGTGCATCTTCCGGCGAATGATTAGAACCTGTAAAATAATTCAGTTTTGCATCCAGTAATTCTCCCTTCCCAGGTTTGGTGTCATTTGTCTATGAGAAAGAGCTGTTTTTTTCAGAAAGTCAGTTTGGTAATGTCCGAACAGAGTATTACAATATTATACTTTTATTATATTTCGTACTCCATATTTATGTTGTCAGTCACCATATTGAAATGAGTTGAAGTGATTTGAAAGAGGGTAAAGGCTGGAGTGAGAGAAACAGGAATCAAAAGGTCTCTCCCTAATTGGGCGTGAACACAATGAAGGTGTGAGTCATCTCCAGCTCACTTTGAGAGGAGGAAGTTCTGAAAGTGGTAGCCATTCTGAAGCGTTAGCAGAGAAGGATGCGTGGCTTTGGCTTTATTTAGGTTCTTTTTCTAGTGATACAAGCCATTAATAAACATAGCTACGGATGAAATGATTCTCCACAGAGTCCAATATATGAAAGTGTGTTTTTCTCCTACTTTTTATGACACTGTCAATAGTTGGTTTAGGTCTCAGTTTAAAATGAAACTGCCAATTTAAGTGAACTGCTGAAGTGTTTGTTTGCTTATTGTACTAGAGTTCATGTGCCAGGATCAGAAACCATCATTCTTCGTAAACACGTTGAACACTTTGGCTGTAGAGTTGTAGATACAAGATTCAAATGCTTTTTTGATGTACAGCTGGGGATGTGAATCTCCCCTGTGAGCTGGTTCTGAAAGTACTGGTTTTCAAGTAGAGCTTTGTTATCTTTGTATCAAAGCAAGGATACTGGCAAATAATTGGAAAATATTTCCTCATATTTCAGCTGTTGCAAACATGAAACCCTCCTGCGAAATATAAGGTGTATATAAAGACGTTCTTGGTAATTTGTAGGGTAGGTTAAAATATTTTTCATATAGACTATTTTATATGCACCGCCTTCGTGTTAATGGAGACTGTGGTGTGAGTAGAAGTCTGCTAACATTCTTCTTGAAGTATCTGCTGCAGAATCTGAAAGAACGTGAACAAGCCTTAACAGTGTTCTCTGCTCCCCCCAGCCTATTCCTCGCCTGTTTTTTGCGGGAGAACACACGATTCGCAACTACCCTGCAACTGTTCATGGTGCTCTGCTGAGTGGACTGAGAGAAGCTGGTCGCATTGCCGACCAGTTCCTGGGAGCCATGTACACTTTGCCTCGCCAGCCGACACCTGGGGTCCCTCCCCAGCAAGCTGCCAGTATGTAGGGAAGGTCGAAGGCATCAGAAGATGAGTGACAGGACCCCACCGCTGCTGTTGTCGACTCTCTGGGATGAAGATACTCACGTAGTCTGTAGCAGTAGCTGCTGAAAGGACTCAGCCAGGAGCTACTGTGTAATACTTCGTTAGAACGGCCTTACGAAAACTTACCTAACCTTTAGCTTGGCATCCTCTTAGAAAATCTTTTAGGACCTGTCGGTGTCCACAGAATCCTTTACTACCAATCTGGTCAGGGACTTTTTTGACTCTGCAAATACTTTTTGAAAGTCAGGCTTATAGCTGGAGGTTTTCTAGGGTTTGTGTTGGTGTTTTTTTTCTACCTACACATGTATTTACAATTTGGTAATTGCACAAGGCCCTCTAGAAGCTGGTTGCTACAAATAGTAGCTTAGTGTAGAATTTGTGTAAACTTCTTTGTTGGGTTTTTTATTGTTTTGAAGAGTAATATTTTTTGACCAATTCTATTCTTATCAGGCATTTGAGAATTTGGTGCAACTGTTTCCCTAGCAGTAGCAGCAAATCGCACCCCTCCAAAACGGTCCATTGGCTGCTACACCATATGCATCATGTTTTAAAAGAAAGCTGGCAATACGAAGAGTGTGCTAGTCATTCTGTTTCATTAAATACTTTCAACACAATAAATAATCAGAAATTGGGTATTTGTAAGTAAAAAACTGGAAAAACTATTTGTGTGTGTTTATGTAGAAACAGAGTTGCCTAGAGAGTAAGTTAGCTGCAGGCCCTCATCTCTTGACTTCGGCAGCTGCTGCAGGCGCCCGGTGTGCCTGCTGGTGTCAGTTCTGCTAGGCTGGCGCCGTGGCGTTGCAGCTGCCTGTGTTCTACTTCTGAAAATCACTTCGGTTTGGCTGCTTTTCCAGCTATTTTCCGTATTATTAATTTCGTGCAGAGCACCTTCATTTCATTGCACAGAGCAGTCTTATTTAAACAGTTAGGTCCTTTTTCTCTCTCCTCCTTTCCTCATTTAGCACTAGACTTTTCTTATTTCTTCCAGCTTTTCTCATCCTGCTCCTTCTACATGTTATTTCTCTCTCATCTAACCGTGGTCTCTCTTCACACTGGTGGTTCTACTTCTCAGCTTTTCTGTTCTCTCTCCGACCCCATGTCTGTACGTGTGCAGTCTGTCCCAACTTCTTTCTGTCCTTGCACCTTCTGTTCTGCTAGAGAAGCAGCACCTCCTCTTGTTCCATGCTCATCCCTCCACAGTTACATCGCCCGTGCTTCTTCCTGAAGAAAACACACCTGCAGCCGCTGCTTGTTTAGAGCTGTATTGTCTTTGGCCACAGACTCTGCATCTTCTGCCATTGTTGCTTCTACTGGGTTTTTTTGTGTCTCCTTCGTAGTAGCTGGATACTGTTCTTCCTCCTATGTCTATGATCTTCTGGTTGCTTTCTCATTAGATGCTGAAGCCTGTGAGGTGGTGTCTCCATAGGCAGGCCTTCTGACAGGCTCTGAGAAAGGGGATGATGCTGATGTGGCAGGGGTGATAGTCTGAGAGGGCGTACAGACTTCAGGTGTCAAGGACGAAGCCCATTTGAAGTGGCTGGATTTGGTGCCATGGGAACCCTCTATCCCGAACCTCTGTCTAAATTAGTGCCACCTTCCCCGTATCTCTAACTTTGCAAATGGTGTGAGCCCTGTGTTGAAACAGGTACTCCTCAGTAGCACTGCTCGTCCTCGCTTTCCCTTCCAGGGGACGAGACAGACTTTGTGGTGGTTGGTCAGAAAACTGCCACTGAAATGGGGCAGGAACTGGAAGTCCAGCAGGGCACGGAGGAGAGATGTCCAGAGGGTGACTGCGAGTAAATAGAGAGTAATTTGAGACTCAAGACCTTATGTTCAGGTGAAAGCCCATCAGTACCACTACCCAGAGAAGCCCTGTTCCAGGGTGAGAGGTGTGACAGGCCTTTAAAATCCCCCAGCCACTGGCCTAGTCTCTTGGCTGCTCCGACCGAAGATGGGAAAAGGATCTGAGAACTGGGGGGCTGTGTTCTTGAATATCTCCAGAGAAGGAGACTCCACCACCTCCCTGGGCAGCCTGGGCCAGGGCTCCGTCACCCTCAGAGGGAAGAAGTTCTTCCTCATGTTCAGACGGAACTTCTTCTGCTTCAGTTTGTGCCCGTTGCCCCTTGTCCTGTCGCTGGGCACCACTGACAAGAGTCTGGCCCAATCCTCCTGACCCCCACCCTGCAGATATTTATAAGCATTTATTAGGTCCCCTCGCAGCCTTCTCTTCTCCAGGCTGAACAAGCCCAGCTCCCTCAGCCTCTCCTCGTAGGAGAGATGCTCCAGTCCCCTCACCATCCTTGTAGCCCTCCGCTGGACTCTCTCCAGTAGCTCCTCATCTTTCTTGAACTGGGGAGCCCAGAACTGGACACAG